TTTTTTTTTTTTAACACTTTCTAGTAAAGTTTATTTTTCGTTGAACAGCCCATTTGTATCATCCCAATTTTCTTTTATTTGTTTTTAAAAACTTAAAGATCCGACATGATTTCTGCTTTAACAATAAAGCTTCCAGTAGCATTGTTTTGGTGTCAACTTGAAAAGCTGACAGATATTGAATTGATTGGAAACAACTTCCTTTTTATAAATTCTCGTGTCTCGTTTTAGCCTCCTATTTTGTTTATTTTAAGTTTTTACTATTCATTTCCTTTCATTTCATCTCTTTCTTTCTTTCTTTCTTTCTTTCTTTCTTTCTTCCTCCCTTCCTTTCTTTCTTCCTTTCTTTCTTTCTTCCTTCCTTTCTATCTTACTTTCTCAGTTCTTTCTTTCTTTCTCTCTTTCTCTCGTTCCCTCTTTCTCTCGTCCATTCGTCCATTCGTCCTCCCTTCCTTTCTTTCTTCCTTCCTTCCTTTCTTTTTCTTCCTTCCTTCCTTTCTATCTTACTTTCTCAGTTCTTTCTTTCTTTCTCTCTTTCTCTCGTTCCCTGTCTCGTCCATTCGTCCAGCATTTATTCGTCCATTCATTTATTTGTCCAGTCGTTCACTCATTCGCTTACTCATTCATTTATCTTATCATTCATAAACTCATTCATTAGTGCATTCGTTCGTTCTTTCTTATCTTCATAAGATAGTACTCAAAAATAACTACCAGATAAATGACGTTTTTAAATCTATAGGAGATATCACTACAGAACATGCACGTACATTGACGAAACGTATAAAAAAAACACTTAAACTTTGCAACTTAAGAGAACGATAAGTAATAATCTCATAATATTAGTAAAGTTTAGACTTTTTCATTTCTGTATTTCTATATATAAAGGATGCAAATGTGAAATATCAAGTGGCACTGGTATAATAGGATATGATGCACGGGGATTGAAAATGAGAGCACTGGGAATAAGAATAAGAACAGAATTGCCTGAAATAAGAAGTTCAAGTTCAAGTTCAAGTTCAGTTTATTTACACTTTTAACAAAAGAAGTTACAGAATAAGAAAAGATTAAAAACAGATATTAAAAACCTTAATGTCAATTATGAAAAAAAGCGTGTAGTGGTCAAAGGAGTATAGCTTTCGAGTTGACCACTGCAAGAAGAAAAAGTCTTAGCCTGGAATGGGAATGGGATCCCTTTTTCTCTCATTCAACTGAGCTATAGAACTTGGTACGAAGCATGAACATTTATACCATAAATGCCATTACTTTCGTGTATAGGAGATAGGTCATTTCAAAATCCAATAATAGCGGGAATGACTTGTGTTTTTTGCTTATAAATCTGAGATATTCAATGTTGTTCGTAGTCAATTAAACCATTTCAAAAGCCTTGTTTGTTTAGTCTTATCGCCTGTTGCCTACCCCCTTTTTAGCTCAACAACCTTTTTTTAAAACAACAGACTTCTTTTTTTGCTTCATTTTAAGAAGCTTTGAATCCTAAGAATATTACATGGTTAGCAAAACCTTTTGCCCAATCGCTTGCGATTTGAATCAGATAAGCAAGAATTTAACCGCTGATTAGATCGGGATACAAATTATTTTCAAGAGTTGGAATTAATTTTCAGAATTGCACTTGTGAAAAAGGTTTCTTAGGATTTCTTTCACAGTTGTCTCGAATCTTCCTGATCTGTATTCGGTCAAAGTTCACCGTGTTTTGGCGGCAGATATCACAATAAAAACGACATTCGTAGCTCTAGTTTTTTTCTATTTTTAATTAATAAGCTTCGCCACAAGGGCAGGGAAACCCCACAGACCAAAGCTCCACTTCGAGGACCCAAAAGTTAGCAGTGAGAAGTACCTTCCTACGCAAGATGATACAATTCAAACGGCTCAACAAATAAAAACCTTATTCATGAAGTCAAAACTTGACAGATTGGACCAAATTTGATAGTCGGTTTTACTGCGGGGAATTTGCATTTCTGTGGTTAAATCTGTGATATTATATATGAGCCAATAATTCCTATACTAAAATTCTCATTCTTATTTCTATTTCAAGCTTTTCTTTTTTGCCTTTTTGTCCAAGACAACTTCAAAACCTAATAACTATTCCGTTCGTTCTTATTTTTTATCAAGTACTTTTAATAACATAACTTAATATATCCATGATCTCGACGTTTGGTTTTTTTTATGTCCCATAAAATGACTCTCTTAAGAGTTCGTTAAGAAGATCAATAATAGGTCTAAGTGGATTGGAATTGAGACATTTCCGAAGAGCTCAAAATCCAGCAAAATATAGAAAAAAATAATATGAAACTTGAGAAAGTGCTTTAGCCAGTGATAAAAATAGAAGCCATTTTTCGCAATACACTATGATAAATGTGTACGGTTTATCAGATCAAATGGAAAACCAATTGAACATTTATTTAACATACATTATTGTAATAAATCCCATAAATCCCATCTCAATTACCTTAATACTTTAAACCACCTTCTAAAGTACATATGGAGTGGTTTACTAAAATACCGGATTAGTGTGGTTATCTCTTATCTCTACTGCGCACCAAAAACCTCACTCACTGATCTAACCCTGAAACAACCTCTGTGCTGATCTAAGTCATGGCATGGCTAACTCACAGATTAAACCCTGAAACAACCTCTG